TATATCAAAACGGCTTTTCATTTATGACAAAATTAATAAAATAAATTTTCTCGTTGACAGTGGTGCAGACATTAGCTGTCTTCCCCACAGTATGTTCAGTAATCATAAGAAAGACGAAAATATATCACTTACTTCTGCATCAGGTAACTCTATTTTTACTTATGGGAAAAAGTTCCTGAACGTGAACCTTGGATTACGCAGGAAATTTCCTTTTCTTTTTACAATTGCAGACATAACCAAACCAATAATAGGTGCAGATTTCTTATGTAACTTTGGATTGCTATTAGATTTTAAAACACGCAAATTAATAGATAATCAAACTTTTATTATTTCTACTATAGAATACAAAATGTAAAACAGGAACTTCCAAAATTATTCACGGTTGAAAATCAATATACAGATTTTTTTAAAAAGTATTCTAGCATTTTTTCATCTCCTAATTTTTATTCTGATACAAAACATGATATACGGCATCACATAGTCACCAAAGGTCATTTACCTTTTAGTAAGCATCGTAGGTTCGATCCTCTTAAGTACAAAATTGCAAATAAAGAATTTTAGCCCAATCGGATTAGTATTTTAGATTCTGAAAAATTCGAAGCAGCAATTTTCCTTCGGAATTCGTTGGAGGGGGTCTCTGGTAGTCTAAATTCAAAAAGTTGGGATTCCAAAGTTGTCGTTACCTCCGCCATCTTGATTTAAAGGGTTATTTTTTGTATCTTGAATAACTCATTTATTTTCAATTTTACACGGAAAATAGTTTTTACAAAAGTTATTTAAAATTAAATTTCCTACAATTCTGCTTTTTTTTTGTACGATCGATTTTTTTCGATTTATACCCGAAAAGAGGGGGTGAATTTTTGGTTATAGAATAACTCGTTTATTTTCAGTTTTACGAAAAAAATTGTTATAAACAAAGTTGTTTAAAATTAAATTTCCTACAATTCTGTTTTTTTTTGTACGATCGATTTTTTGTATTTATCCCTGAGAAGAGTGGGGGTGAACCTAGATTTAATTAGGACTATGGGCCATGTGGCCTCCCCCACCTCGACCTTTTCAGATCTATTGTGGATTGGGGGGGGGGGGGGACCACTAAAATGTGTACAATTTGGAAAGGTTTTGTAGCTGTCTTAGTAAGCATTAGCGGAACATAGTGGTTTTGTCTGGCATATTTATTTTTCTGACAAATAGAACAAGCGTTAATATAATTTGTGATAGATATTTTTATATTTTTCCAATAATAATTTTGACGTAATTTTTCTAACGTTTCATTAATACCTCTATGCGTTGTTTTTCCTTCGTGGTAATTTCTAAGCAAAAGAATTTGTTCTTCTTTATCAGAAATAGTGTTAAGTAATTTTGTGCATTTAACCAATTTTGGTCCATTTTCCGAAAAGTGTTTTAAATAAACATTATTAAAATCTCTATATAAGTTTTCTCTATTAAAATAAAAGTAAAATGTACTTTTTAGATCAGTTAATTCAACTAGAAATTCAAATATCAATTTTTCGTTATCGGTTTCTAGAATTTTAATTTTTATAATTTTTTCATTTTCATAAGTTTCGTGAGTGATATCGGTTTTTTGATAAAGATTTAGATAAACTAAAATTTGGTGTGTTTTATTATTTATGATTTCATCTAAGATGGGTATGCCGTTATTTGTTGTTTCTTTTGCTGTCGAATGTTGCGTCAAATCGTCAGAATCGTCTGTGTCATCTGTCCAGTTAGGTTCAGGGGTATTTAATTCGTTTCGTGTGTCATTATTTGTAGGAGGAGGAATTTTTACATTTGACATTATATTAATTTTGGATATATTCGTTTTATTTGTGGAAGGTTGTGTTTCTTTTGGAACATTTTTAGCTAAATTTTGCAAAAATTCTAAAATGTAATTGCCTGCATCTCCGGTATTATTAACTACTGATTCATTTTTTAGTGCGTTAAGTGATATACTGGATAAACAATCTGCATTTGTATTATTTTTACCCTTTTTGTAAATGATTTTGTAGTCGTACTCTTCTAATTTGAGCCTCCATCTTACTAGTTTAGAGTTAGGCTCTTTTAAACTAAATAACCACGTTAACGGTTTATGGTCACTGTATATATAAAAAGATCTCCCATACAAATAAGGTCTGAAATGTTTGCAACTCCAAACAATTGCAAGTAGTTTTCCAATAGTCGAGTAATTTATCTCTAAGTCATTTAGGGTTCTAGAATCATACGCAATAGGCCTATCGTTTGGTACATTACCTTGCGATAAAACTGCACCTATAACATAGTTACTAGCGTCTGTCGTTAGTATAAAAGGTTTATTAAAGTCTGGGTATTGCAATATGGGGTCATTTGTCAAAATGTCTTTACATGTTTGGAAACAGTCTATAAAATCTTTATTATGAATTACCTGAGCGACTTTTTTCAAAAATTTTGTTAATGGCTTTGTAATTTTAGCAAAGTCACGAATAAAGCGTCGGTAATAACCTAAGAGTCCAAGGAAACTTTTAATGTCTGTCTGAGTTTTGGGAATTGGAAAATTTTTAATAGCCGAAATTTTATCAGGATTTGGTTTAACTCCAGAGGGGGTAATTAAATGTCCTAAATACACCACTGAATCATAGAATTCTGTGATAGTGTAAGACTTAAAATTGTGCATATACTTTTAGATTGCAAATACTACAGCTCAACTCGTCGCAAACACAAGCTCAGTGGAACTCGGTCTACCTAACTAGTTTAGTGCTGTGATTTAGTTCCTTAAAAACTTTCGAATGCTTAATTTAATTTGATTTTATATGTTACCAAATGTATTTGAAATAAAATCTATCACAGATCCCATTTCAGTGGTCACTAGATGCCGAGACACGTTAATTTTAAAAACAAAAAATATTATTTATTAAATGCTCTAAACGTTGTGGAATTACCGTGTGTAATAATATTTCCATATTAATTATAGATGTGTATGAAATTTCCTACTGTGACGTTAAAAAAAATCAGCAACAACAAGATCTGCTCACGGGTCCTAAAGAAAAGTCACTGGTCCATAGCACTTCCGTCAACATCAACGACGTTCGAGGTCTGGCATCTGTGTTCCGGAAGAAGTTTGGTCGATTTCCAGAACTTCAAGATCGGTTACCGGCCCCAGGAAAAGCATAAAAACTTCAAGATGGATCACGTTATCTTTTCTTTTTGGTAACAAAGAACACATTTCGAGATCGATCCGCTTATCATAATGTATGGGTAACACTACTTAGTCTGAAGGAGCATGTCCAATGTACAGAAACTAGCTATGCCCAAGATAGACAGCAACCAGCTAAATTGGAGGATCATAAGAAACATGGTTGAAGTAATTTTTCAACATACTGAGGTTCATTATTCATTATTTCAGTATCCAGGTATTAGTGAACACCGTCCCTTGTTATTTCCATATGAATGGAAATCGTTAAAGTGAGTCCAGTTGCAGACACAATCATTCAGTTTGAGTTCCAGGAGAAACTATTTTTAAGGAGGGGACAATGTCGCGCGATGCCGACTGTTTTCTTTATTTATGTGCCAATTTATCTTTTTATTCTCAGATTATATATTCAGATTTTAACTGCAGTGATCTCATTTTATATGTAAAACACATGGCTACGAACACGTATATCTATTCAAGCAATTAATTTAAATGTAACATGTCGCCTCACTATTAGTTATGACCCTTACGAGCCGAGCTCTTTTACCTGGAATCAGATACCTCTTCTTCAACCGCGGTGTGATATTTACAATACTAGCCGCTTTATTCGAAGCCGCGTTGTATTTACCATCATTTAGCGAATTAAATAATTATTAATGATTGACACGTTATTAATGATTGATAGGTAATTAATGATTGACAGGTCATTAATGATTGACAGGTCATTAATTATAGACAAGGTAATTAATGATTGACAGGTAATTAAAATGATTAATGACCTTTGACGGCATCATTGTCGGCATCGTCAAAGGAAAATTTGGTTCCCAGGCTGTCCCATTACCTACCTAGAGGCGACATTGAGTCTTGCGTTGGCAATCCTAGTTGTGAACCACAAAGACTCAAGACGTCGATGCTGAAATTTTCGCTATGCGGTTCGGCACGTAAAGGAAGCTTCCGAGATTCTTCTGGCCGGATTGCGTAAATAGAAAACCTACTTCAATACGTCCTCCAAGCAGTGACTAACTAGACTAGGGTTTTTATGGGTTAATCGTGCAGAAAACCTACTTGAATATATCATTGGATGGTGCCGTGTTGGAGTAGGATTGCGCGTTATTACGCTGCTTAAACATGTGGAAATACTACTTCAGTACAGCGCGTGTTTTCTTACGTAAAAAAAACCTGTAATGGCATAGTTTATTAATATTTAGTGTCATACTGTAAATCATTTTTAATATTGAAGGCTATATAATGGGGTTGCTTTTTGACACCTTAACTGAAATAGGCATCTTCAGCTCTTGGTTTGAGGTAGTTCTGTGGGTTGTTCTTTGGTAAATTACTGTAGATTTTTTTTTTATTCAGTATTAATTGATAATCAAGTGGCGACATTTTTACCTGTAAGTGTGGTGCTATTTAAATTGTTTATTAATGTTTTTTGGCAAACTGTAAATTATTCTCAATATTGAAAGTTTTATTATAGGGTCGCTTTTTGGCGCCTTGGTGTTCTAATTTCACAGGACGTCCAGCTTAAATTCGTCCTTCTAAAATACCTCTAGCTTTTCGCCTTGAAATAGATGTTGGTTGTCTTTAATTTTTCTTGATCTCCTACCGGCTGTTTTGTGATACGCAAATGACATGATCTGTGATGGAAGTCTGTAGAGTTTCTAGTATAGCGGCATATTTCTGTATATAAAAAAGTTCTATATAGTAATTGATAATCAGGTTGCGATTCTTATTTGTATCTGTGGTATATGGCTTATATTTGCTTGACTTTGTAAAACTTGACCAATGCGTGTAAACTCATTGATTTTGTGGACTATGATATTGTAATTGTCAAGACCTATTTGGTCAATGGGAATGTTAAATTGTGATGGTGCTCCTAACTCTGCTTGCTGAGATGTAGTTTGATCAGATGTGTGTTCATTAGATGATCCTTCATGAACAGGTGAATTGATGTCTTCAAAGGAAGACAGTGGAATTTCTTTTCCTAGAGCCAGATATGTAAGCTGTTGGCGATCCTTTTCAGATAGCAGCAGGGCAGATTGAAACATAATACAGTACTTATTTTCAACTTCTAGTAGGTGTTTGCAAAAGTGGCCACCACTTCCACTTAAACAAGTGCAAAATCCAATTACATGACCAACTACATAGTACTCTAATGTTCGTTCGCTCTGAACTTTAAATGTTTTTTCATCAACCTGTGTAACTTCGGTTATATTTTTGGATCTTTCAAAAAATTTCTGATAGTCCAGTGTATTTTTCGGGATCTTGAATTAGCAAAATGTAGCAGTCTTTTTCATTTAACTTGCATTGAAAAGGCACAGTACTTATAACTTTCGTCATTTTGACCGTCCATTTTCACGATTCGCTAGTCAGTTAATATTGCACTAAGTAATATTTCAATAGTTTCTTCCATTTTATTGGTAGGGTATATTGTTAATTCACTTTTTGTTTATAAACAATCGAATACCGAGCCGCCGCACGTTATAAACATAACCAAACATAACCACTAAAGGAACACTTGCCGTACTAAAGTAGGAATTACAGAATATTACGCCGCCTAAAATCCTACTCCAATACGACACCATCCGGGGCTATATTCAAGTAGGTTTTCTGCACGAATAATGCATAAAAACCCTAGTCTAGTTGGTCACTGCCTGGGGGATGTATTGAAGTAGCTTTTCTATTTACGCGGCCGGATTTTCTAGGACGATATATTTTTGTATAAATAGCCCGAGTTTGTCGGTAGACGTAAAGATTCAATTTAAGTGTTGGATATTAAAGATAAATTGAAATAAATAAATTAGAATTGTAAGTTATAATAGTGCCTAAGTATTAAATAAATTAAATAGTACATTATAAATAAATTATAAATAAACCATTTTTAATAAATAATCTATTACAATCGTTACATTATTTAAGTGCTATTTTAAATTTTTAATACTTTTCTGGCAAATAAATGTAAAATATTTTTTATCGTTGTACATCTTCAAGAAATCATCATACATACTCGATAAATCCTTATACATCCTTGTTAATCCTCATATATCCTCGTACAGTCTCGTACGTCATCATACATCCTCGAAAATACTTTTTTTTGTACACCTGCATCCTCAGTTGTTTACCCCTTGCCCAGGCCCATAACTTCTAGAAAACTGAACTGGATCAATTTAGTTTTTTCTCCTAATTATTTTCAACTTACCCTCGATTATTAATATTTTGTGTTACCATGTAATTTAACATTAATATTCACGTAACAACACAAAAATTTACATTTAAACAGTTACTTAACAATTATATTCTTAAATTTTTTAACTAGGTCGTTTAGATTAACTCTGGCACCTCTTATATACTATAGTTATCCAGATACTACCCTTAATAATCAGCACATCACTCTGTTTATTTTCATTTCATATCTGAAAGTTTGCCGTGTATACTCCAAACTCAACCCTTTCAACCAGGAAATAGGAATTGCTTTAAAGTTAAACGAAGGGCTCGGGGCATATGGTTACCTCACTTCCCTATGGAACGAGCTCGGGTTTCTAGACTTTTTTATGGTTTTCAAAACAAATATGTAGAGACAAACAAGCTTTCATTTTGGTGACTGCAAAAATTCCAGAAAGTGATTTTTATGTAGCAGAAAAGTTGCAAGTGGAAAGTTTTTGCAATAATATCTTTTAAACCGTAAAACAAATACATTTATTCAGGACAAGCTAGACTAATTATTTATGTGTTAGTGTAACTAATTAAAATATGGTTCCTTACTAATTTCAAATAACCAGGGCCGCGGAGAGCCATGGTGGGGACATGGAAAGGGCCTGTCACCCACATAATATAACCTATTTTTTTAAAGCTGCCGAACACCCTAGGCCCCGGGGGTTTTGCCCTCTTGTCCCTTCCTCTCGTCGGAACAGCAAATAACCAACATTTTCATAATTATATCTGTTAAAGGTTTGTTTGCATCTGAATATTTAACAATTATGGATAAATTCATGAAATTTATATAATTAAAAAATATTTTTTTTTGTAAATACAAATTATTTTAAAATTAGTTGGCTACACATTTATTGATTGATAAAATAAAGTTTTATCTACGTAAAATACTTCTCTTTATTCCCTCTTTATCTTCTCATCTTTTCTTAAATAAGTAAAACCAAATTTGGTAGATTTTCACAAAACTTCTATTTTAAAAAAATTAAAATTAAAAAATTAAAAACACTACACATGACATGTTTCGAAGTTGTTGTCAAAAGATAAGAAAAAAGAATATTCCAAAAGAGATTGTTTCAGCATATACACTAAGGTACCTAATACATACTGAATTATCTCACAGATTACATTTTATAGAATTTGAAATTGTAGATAAAAACAGATTAGTCAAATTATTCATAAAAAATTTATTAGACAACGGAAAAAATTAAAATCACTTACTTTTAAAAAATCCATATTACCTAAACAAAAATCAGAACAGAACACAAATAAAATATCTGATCATACATTTTTTAAAAGATTTGTTAACTTAACTACCACACATTTCTCTGATCCAGAACAATCTCTAACAGAAAAAGGGTTTAAAGACAACATCGCACCTAAGATAAATACTTCTAACTTAGAAATTTTAGGAATAGAAACAGAAATCGCTTTAAAAGATTCATATAACACTTTGTCTCATTAATATCATACTGCGAACATAATTAAAACACAATTTTTACATAATAACAATTCAAATCAAGATAGTAAGTTAATTAAAGTAAAACAGGATGATATCATTTTTACTCGTGCTGATAAGGGAAATACAGTAATTGCTATTAATAATCTAGATTATATTAACAAAACTCTTTCATTTTTACAAGCAATCAATAATTATAGCACACTTAAATTTGATCCAACAGATAAATATTAAAAAGAACTAAAACGTAATATTCAGGATTCAAGAGCAATTTTTGATTCTAGAGAAAACTAATACAAATGAACCCTCAACCACCACAACTTTATTCTTTAATAAAATTACACAAAGAGAACCATCCTATTAGACCAGTTGTGTCATTTATCACGGCTCCATCAGTTAAACTTTCACATAATTAAACTTATACAAGAAAACTGCAAATTCCATTTAAAGTACAGTATAAAAAATTCTTATGAATTAACAGAAAAATTAAAAAATAATTAAATTACCTAGAAACACAAAATTAGTATCATTCGATGTAACAAACTTATTTCCTAGTATACCTCCTAAAGAAACAGTTAAGCTAGTAGAAAACTTATTAGACCGTAATCAAGTCAATATTATAATGAAAGAAGAAATCCTAAATTTGTTAAACATTTGCCTAAAACAAAATTATTTTCAATTTCAAAATAACATCTACTCAGCAAATGAAGGTCTTATTATGGGGAATCCATTAAGCCCGTTGCTTACAAAAATATTTATGGATAATATAGAACATAAAATTCATAGCAATAATTTAAGTAAACATTGTCTTTATTTGCATAGATATATATGTTGACGATATACTGACTGCTTTTACTGGTACTAGTAGACAGTTAAATTCTTTATTAGTTTTTATCAATAATATACACCCTAATATTAAATTTACTATGGAAACAGAGAAGGATAATTCAATTAATTTTTTAGACTTAAATATTATTAAAATTAATAAAGGCCATAGATTTGGGATATTTCATAAGCCATCACATACGATATTATAATAAATAATAGTTTATCTCATCCATACAAACAAAAGCTAGCAGTATACAACAGTATGATCCATAGATTAGTTAATATCCCCCTTGCCAAAGAGAATTTCACAAAAGAATTATACATCATTAAACAAATCGCAGTAAAAAATAATTTTAATTCAAAGTTAGTAGACAACATTTTAGGGAAAAAACTTTTTAAATATGCTATTCAACAAGTTTATCCTATAATCAAAGATCAAAATTGCAGATATAAGACTCTGTAAAATGTCTTTACAAAAACATACCATATATTCCTTAGACCAAAATAAGTCGATTTAAGTAAAATTACCTTTGTACAAAGTTGCTTCGTTTGGGCTCCAGAGGGCCTTGAAGTTAGAATTTTTAAATCGTTTTTCCCATATAAATTTAAAACGGCATATGCGATTTTGCTGAAATTTAATATATTGGTAGAGTTTTATGTGAAAAAAAAAATGATATTAAAATTTTGTCCGATAATAATACATAGGCGTAGAACTTGATTTTTTAAATAATTGTACCTTTAAAAATTCTACGCAATGGAAGAAAAGAAGTTTGAGTATAAAATTTAGATTGCGCAACTCATTTACTTTAAAAAAAGGTACTCTTGATAAGACTCGATTACTCTCATGGTTTTCGCTAAATTTCTGTTTTAATAATTTAGAGTGTATAGGTTTCACAAAAATATTTATTTACAACATAATCAAAATAGAGATTTTACAAAAATTGTTCAAAATGTTCACCATTTTCACGCATACAAAGATTTATACGTCGAAGAAAATTAAAATGTATCCTTTCCATAACTTCTTTATCACCTCTAAGATTGTTTATTGCATCTTAATTACGTTGCCAGAGTTGTTCCTCATTTTCTACAGGTTCCCTGTAAACTGTGGATTTCAGATGTCCCCATAAAAAGTAATCCATCGGTGTTAGTTCTGGGGAACGTGGTGGCCAGTTTACAGGTGCTTCATTACCTTTGCCTATCCATTTGTGTGGATATTGTTCATTCAAGTGGTTTCTAACGTTTAAAGAAAAATGTGGTGGAGCTCCATCTTGCGTAAACCACATATCTCTCCGAAGTTGGAGAGGTAAATCTTCTAACAATTCTGGCAACATATTTTGTAGAAAATCCAAATAATTTTCTCCAGTTAATCTTCGTGGAAGTATGACAGGACCAACAATGAAATTACCAATTATTCCAGCCCACACATTCATTTTGAATACGTGCTGAAAATAGTTTACCTTTATTGCATGTGGATTTTCAACGGCATGAACATGTTCATTATGGGTATTAGTTATACCTCTTCTTGTAAAACCCGCTTCGTCGGTAAAGAGAACCTTCTTGACAAAGTTTGGATCTCTTTCTCTTTGCATATTAACAAATCGACAAAAACCCAAACGAATTTGAGGATCATGGACTAATAATTCTTGTACTGGCTTCTTATGGTATGGATATAGCAATTGTTATCTAAGCACTTTATGAACGACATCTTTACTTACTCCTAGTTTCCTTCCCATTCGTCTGGTGCTTAATTCTGGATCTTCTTCAACACGT